GAACTAAAAGGCGAAAAGGCAAGGGGAAAGAGGAAATCACTTTATTCAATTTTCTACAAAAGAACATGGAAGAATGGAAGGCTCTGAATACACGGGAGTGGGATGATGACATGTCTTTCTTGACCAGATTTCAAACAAACAGTAAGTAATAAGTGACTAGCCCACTAAAGTTCAGTCTCTGGGCCAGAAGCAATTTCAATTTAGGTTAATTCATAACTCCCCTCCCCCCAAAGAGAAACAAGTAGTGTCAGAAGATGTGTTCTCCTCCTCCCCGACATTTAGTAAATATAAACTCAGTGACCTCTTGAATTACCAAACTTCCAAGCTGACCAAGAGAAAAGGACATTTAGTCTGAACTTTCTCCAGGACCTCAGACTTCCTCCTTCCCAGAGACTCTTGATTGCACCTACAGTGACTACAGGAGCTCATGAGACAGTATATTCCATGACAGTAGATCTGTCACCAAGTTCTTTTTGAAGTTTCCACTTGCTGATCCAATTCTGCACTTTGAGGTTCCTTTTTTTTTTTGAGAGGTTTTTGCTATAGGGTGCGTGCACTTGCCAGAAAGACAGAGAGAGACAGAGAAACAGAAAGCGAGAAATCACCTCCCAGGGGAATGGCCAAACTGCAATCCCTTCTCCTCCATTCTCCTCTTGGGATCTTGGGCATGAACGCACATGTACCCAGCTTGAGTTTAGGCCACCAGGTCCGGGACTAGAACCACGGTCAACCACATGGGAGTCCAGCAACACAGCCATTACGCCAACTGCTGGTCCCCGCACTTTGAAATTCCTAATGACAACCTTTAAACATCTGATCACAATAACTGTGCCCCCCCCCATCTTCTCCAGATAAAACACCCCTACCTCCTTCCCTATACGACGGGATTCGCTTTCTCTCACTGTTCTAGCTGCCTTCCTTTGGATATGCCCCAGCCTCTCTAAGTAGGTCCCACGGACAGATGATGATTTTCCCTTGGTGTGACCAGCAGGATTGCGACTTTTCCGAACTGGACACTGGGTTACGGAGTTGCACCACACTGCTGAATCATATGGAGCTAAGTCAACACAACCACAGCCCTGCCTTTCTTTGCACGGCCGACTGATGGTGGTGAGTCATATTTCTCCCATCCTGGACTCAGTACTTATGGTGAGACTTGTTTTCTTTGTTTGTTTATTGTAAACCCAAGTATATCCCTGTTAAACTTTATCTCCCTGTTAAGTTTTACGGTCTGTTTTTCAGTTGTCAAGATCTTTTTGTATTCTCAGTTCAGATCAAAAAACTTACTGCCTGTTTATTACATGCTAGTGCTAAAATAAAATTAACACTGCTGCCCTTAATGAGTTTATGGTCCAGTGACAGAGAAATGTGTGAGCAGATCATTCCAATACACAGGTAGAAAAGATGATCTGCATCTCAAAGGAGAAGAGGGATGAGAATGTGTGGGAACCACCAAAGCCAGCGTAACCACCTGAGTTCAAAAGTATGAGACGGAACAGACCAGGTGGGGCCCCACAGGCCACCTGCCAGATATCACTAGCACATAACATTTGAGGAGGGGAGGGACAGGAGATGAGGCTAGAAAAGAAATGTGGTCAGGACACGAAGCCTCCTAGACAGTGTGGAAGAGACTGGACATTTTCAGTAGACAGAGAATGCCATGAGTTACTTTAAGAGCCAAGCCAGGTGAACACTTTCACTAAAGGGCTCTTATTGCTGAGGGGCAGCATTAGAGGCAGGGAGACCAGTTAAAAGATTACTACAGTAGTCTAAGAGAGAAGTGATGGGCCCTGAAGTAAGGAAGGATAGAGAGAAAGTGGGTTTAAGAAGCACTGAAGGGATGGGACCAGCAGATAGCATGATGGCTATGTCGCTGGACTCCTATATGGTCGACCGCAGTTCGAGTCCTGGACCCGGTGGCTTAAACTCATGTTGTACACGTGTGCATATGTGACCCTGAGAGGAGAAGGGATTACAGCGTGGCCATCCCCCCCGGGGAGGGATTTCTCACTTTCTCTCTGTCTCTCTCTTTCTGGTGAGTGTACGTGCCCTATACTAAAAAAACAAAAACAAACAAAAAACAACCTCTTAAAAAAATAAAAAGCAGCAGCACTGAAGGGATTATATTGGCAAGAGTAGAAGCAGACTGACTCCATGGAGGACAGTGGGTACCACCCAGGACCCATTCTTCATGTAACACATGCATTATTCCACTAGAAGTTGGGCAGATCTCAATTGCACATGCCCTAAATGACCACGTTTTTGATAAATCATTACTAAAAATGTTCCCTGGGCCAGGTGGAAGACAGAGGGAGTGGGTAAGTATTACAGCTGGCTCCTGCCTGCACCTGGTCTGACCCCACTAGGAGTTCTCAGCAGCTCATTAACTTTCCCTGCTTGGTTCCAGTCATCCTGCAGCTAGGAATTCTCTTGGCTGTACCATTCTTTCTACAGGGTTTACCTATAAGAATGCCAGAACAGACTTTATCAAATGCCTTGCTAAAATCCAGATCATTTGTCTATAGCATTTGCTGATTAAACCCCAACTGACAATTCTACCCCCAAAATTAATGATTTTATACTGGAGTGGCTTACCAGAGAGTAAGCATTTTAGAGCTTATCTTGTACTGTTTCTATTTGTCATCTCATTATAACTCAGTGAACCCTCCTTACATCTAGAAAACTATTATAAACGTAACAGAAATGTCAGAATATGGTAACATCTGGAATACTTAATCAAAATAGAAAGTCAAGGACCAGCAGTTGGCGTAATGGCTATGCTGCTGGACTCCCATGTAGTCAACCATGGTTCGCATCCTGGACCCAGTGGCTTAAAACTCATGCTGGGCACGTGTGCGTGCGTGCCCAAGATCCCAAGAGGAGAATGGAGGGGAAGGGATTGTGGCATGGCTATCTTCCCGGGGGGTGATTTCTCGCTTTCTGTCTCTCTCTGTCTGGCGAGTGCACGCGCCCTACAGCAAAAACCTCTCCAAAGTCACATAAGCTTGCAACAATCCAGGAATTACAAATATAGAATATTAATACGACACATGGAACTATTTTAAAAAGAAAAGGACTCGGCTCCACTATGACATCATCCCAGCACCCTGCGTGCAGCCTGGAAGGAGTCCCAGATCACACAGCAGCCAGGCATCTTCACAGGGTTGCAGGGAGCCCAGGTGGTGCGCTCCTCTACCTCTGAGTAATCTCTATTTTCAACACCTAAAAACCTAATCCCATTACAATTCGATAACCATTACTGTGGTCTCTGGGTACCATTTCCTACCCTGCCCCCCCACTGCTGCCTGAGGACAACACTACATTCAAAAGGAATTTCACTTTTTTGGCAAGGAGTTAGAAATAAGGCTCACAGATTTGCTTTTAAAAACATAATTTAAAACAGAAAGAACTGTCTAGGCCATTCTGGATAAGTTTTAGAGGAACTTATTATCTGAAAGAGATTGCAGGTAGAGTGCACAGTCCACTGGACTCCACACTGGACAGCCAGTCCTACTCGCTTCCTCTGGGCCTTGAGGAGGGATGATATCACCAAGAAGCCAGAGATCAAAGGCACTAGCTTAAAGAAGGCGATGAGGGACATGTTCAGGAAGGGCTCCTTTGAGGCTGCTTAACCTACAGTAATTGTGGACTTCAGCATATTTTGGGAGATAGAGAGATTCAGAATAGATAATGATGATGATCTGATGTCACGAACTTGAAGACTAATGGCAGGATAGGGGATAAGTACAAAATAACAATAATGATAACTATAAATATTGCAAAATGCTTAGTGACTTAGCTAAAAGTATTAGCGATAAAAGCTTATATTAGTTCAGTATGTAGGTGCCACGCAATAGTCTGCTATTATAAATATTATACACCCATTACTTAAGGCTATGAATACGATTACTTTTAGAACAGACACTTGGGGCCAGCAGGTGGTATAGTGGTTAAGGACGCTGGATTCCCACATGGATGACCACGGTTCAAGTCCCGAACCTGACGGCTCACTCCCCCCCCCTCCCGCCCCTCTCTGGTCAAAATGAAATAAAATAAAAACCCTGACACTTGTTGGATATTATTCTAAGTATCAATACATCAATGAGATAGGTTCTATTATTGCTATTCTTATCTTACAAATGAGAAAACAGGTTAAGTTACTTGCTCAGTCACAAAGGAAATGGTAGGTAGAGAAAAAAAAGCTCATTTAAAAAAAGATAAAAACTAATGCCATGGGCACTTATTTCCCACTAGAAGAAGTGAGAAAAAAAAAAGGAGCTTTTAGAGGGGAACAAAATTTCAGATGGGCCCTGACAGCTGCCCAGGTACTGAACTGTGAGAGTTAGGAGGAAGCAGACACACAGAAAACATCAGATAGGTTCGCTGGGGCCAGTAGATAGCGTAGATGTGCAGGCAGCTGGATCCCACATGGCCAACCGTGCGGTTTGAGTCTTGGACCCAGCGACTTAAAAGACATGGTATGTATGCCCCAAATCCTGAGAGGACAAGGGACTGGGGCTGAGGAGTGACCATACTGCCTGGAGGGTGCTTTCTCTTTTCTTTCTTTTCTTGGAGAGGTTTTGCTATAGGGTGCTTGTGCTCGCCATAAAGACAGAGAGCTAGAAAGCGAGAAATCACTCCCCAGGAGCGATGGCCACGCCGCAATCCCTTCTCCCTTCTACTCTCGGGATCTTGGGCATGCATGCACGCGCACACACGCCCGGCCTGAGTTTAAGCTGCCA